TCTTCGTCAGGGTAATATAAGACCCCGTAAGAAACTAAAGATAATATTTTCTGTAAGACTATGGACCTAGCTGAGCATTTAATTCACGAAACCAAAAATCATGTATTTTGTCTTATGATATATGCTTTTTCCTTAAAATGCTGTATCTTAATTTCTTCCATTAGACAATTATTTCACATTATTTTTATAATATTGATCTATTTTCTTTTATATTTTCTTGTTTTCCTCTAAAATTTTCAAAAGTTACACCACCTAGGAAGAGATAAAAGTATTGTAATATTACACTGAACCTGAAAAAGTATAAATTTGCACACTAGCAAGTTTAAGAAAGCATGCACATACAAACAGCAAAGATCACCTTCCACCAAATTAAAAAAAAAAAAGATAGCAGTTTCACAGATACGAATAACAAGTTTTAATTCCTCTGGATAATTTTAATTGCATGTTTGGTCTTACTCTAAGCCTTAATATTTATCAGAAAAAAGGAAGATTAGTTTTTAAAGTTTTTTCTAATCATAGCTTTTGCTCTAGTTGCATTTACTCTTCTAGACCAACTCCTCCTGTTGCCCATGTATTCAATCAAAAAACACTGTTAAAATATCTGTATTGTGTATGCTGTCAGAAAACAGTTCTAAATATTTCTCAGCCAAAACTAATTTTACTTTAAAATGGCAGTAACTTTGAATAGGTACCATTTCCTCAGCCACTACAAATTCTTGAGAACCCGTCTGCAATAAAAGTCATCTACAGAATTATTGAACAGCTGTATTGGTTATTTCACTGGAAAGGGCAGACTGCCCTAAACTGTTTTTAATCCATATTGTCTACCCCTCAGTATTTTTAATAATCTTTCTGAAGGTTAAGAATAATAACATATCTCTCAGTAATGGATCTCCTCCTCCTTCATTAAAAAAAATGACTAAATAACAACTACCTTCTTGTTTCTTCCTCTCTCCTTCATCTCATTGGAATTCCAATTGAGTGCAAGTGACATTTCTGTAACGTCAGAAAAAAGAAGCCTCTTCTTGTGAAAAACTTTCTCAAAAGGCCCCTTGGTCTTGATTAGCAATTCTCAAAAAAGATTGAAATCCCTGAGTTAAACCCTCTCTCCGCTGTAAGGGTGGGACTCACCTGACTGAAGCATATCTCCTCCAGGGCCTCTTTACAACCAACGGAGAGAAACAGCGACTTCTGGGACTCTTCTTGTCTTACTTAAAGTAGATGTACAAATAGGCAGGATACTCCCTAGTAAATATCTCTTTGCTTCTGATAATCATGACAATAAATAGAGAAAATATCCCAGATGTAATTGCCTGAAGTACAGACAGCAAACATGAAACGCATCTCACCTTCAATTTCAGAAAAGCTTTTAATCTCATCAGCCACACACAAAACCTTTTAAGGGGAGCATCAGAGAACGTTATCTCAGAGCTGTTTCTTTCAAATATGATTCACAGGAAAAGCAGAAAGTGGTTTCTTGCAAAAAATGTGTAGAACTAGAAAAAATTCATTGTTCTACCCAAAAGTGTCTCAGAAGAAATCCGTTTGAGGCAAAGAAGGATTAGCCTATACTGCTCTGTACATTTATCCCTTATTGTATAAAACAAAGAACTCACTACTCTGGACACAGTCTTTGCCTGGAGCTTTCTATCCATAAGGATTAGGATGACTCCATGAAAAGCAACAAAAAGCACTACCATTTATATATACTCCCCACACAAACTCCCTCGCAGCCCTGAGAAATGGGAGCAAATAGCCACAACAGCCTCAGATCCACTCTAGAAATAATATATAAAATATATCATAAAGTCAAAGGTTCTCAGTGCAAGAGAAACTGAAGTGAATGGGTACCCCAACATTATCCAGTACCAGATATCAGTTATCAGCCACTGGACAGAGGTTGTTGACATTAAGCCAGGACTTGCTGGCTCACTAATCTGAGGAAAAGTATTAACATACTCCTATTTCCCTACGCATACTCCAAAAGAGGGAGAAAAGGCCCAAAGAGATGCTGCAGAGCTGCATAGGTGGGGATGAGCACGTGTGAAGGGCAAGCCAAGCTCTCTTGCTCCTCTCTATGGTTCTCTAATTTATCAAAAGCAGCATGGACACAGCCCCACATTCAAGCTGGTAAAACTGGGTACAGCCTGTTTCTTAAGCTGCAAGTAAACACCTAAGTTCAGGAAGAAAAAAAAAGTCGTCTCCCCTTTCACAATTCTATTAATTATCTCTAGTGTCTTCTTTTCCTTTCCACTCTTCCCACCCCAAATAAACTGGCTGTTGCAAACCCCAGTCCCAGTTCCTTCTGTTAGCTGCTTAATGAATATAATGAGCTTATGAATGCTGCACTGTGTACTTTCAGTTGCGATAGGAAGAGAAACAATAACTGTTAATAATGTTCATGAAATAATTCTATAACCGCAAAGTATAGCAAGAACAGCAAGATGAGGCCGAGGCCCTTCCAACTGGAAAACATCAACGTTTAAAAAAAAACAAACAAACAAGGAAATGTGACATGACAAAGGCACTAAAATTGAGTTTGGCCACATATTCTGTGTTGGCAGAGCTGCTCGACCACCAGGCGGGCCAGTGAAGCCCTGGCACGGCACTGTGCCGAGGGCCACGTGCACAGGCTGGAAGGCAGCCCTCGTCCCCAGGAGCTCACAGAGGGCCCTCTGGACACATGCTTTTTATTTTCCAAACACAAAACAAGACAAGGTTCTAATTACTTCAGTTTTCCAAATTTATTATCAGTCCACTAAAAGTGTCTCCAATAGTTTCTCATTCCAGATCTTTCAAAAGGAAAGTATATCACAAAGTCTAGAAATCAACTACTCTTAACTTGTTTGTGCCTCCTATATTCTTGAATCTGTATTAGACATACTTTGTCATTCTTATGGCTTCCCAGAAGGTTTTTTTTCCCCCAAATTAAGAGATAGAAGTGAAGAAGCTTTTCTTCATTATCTTGCACACAATCTTTGCTTTCATTAGACTGACACAGGTGTTTCCTGTGGATGAACAAGAGTTAAAATAAAGTCTTCTGTGTAATTTTAGTACACATATTACAACTAAACTAAATTACAAATAAAAGGGCTTCATGGGGTACAGTTTCACAGTTGGAAAAAACATTCAGAATCTGGTCTTCTTTACAGGGACTTGAACAAAATCTCATTAGAAGAAAGAATGACCTTTCTTTTTCAAGTAGATCAATCCAACATATATTCGGCCTCAGAGGAAATTACATTGCTTGAACAAAATTATGGGATACTACTTCATGAGCCAAGCAAATTTGCTTTATCGCTCAATAATATTTGAAGGCAATGCTGGACTAAGAAACAGCAGCACTCAAAATGAGTGCTGCTCAACTGAACTGATTTGAAATTTTCAGTTAGTGCAAATAGCAAAATTAAGTCACTGGAACAGCAGTGATTTATAGCAACTGAGAATGCAGCCTAGAATGCTGGAAGTGAAAAAAACAAGATCCGAGGATGCTTGGCTTTGTATCACATTGCCTTATTGCTTTAGTATGTTAATTGGAATGGTCATTAGGAAGAAAATAATTCTGGCAAACTGGATTAATAAAGACCTTCTATTTTGGGTATTAGGTCTAGAAGGGAATGATCATCTGTTCTGCCTTCAATGAGAAAAGAATGGAAGTTTACTTTTTTCTTTAAGCATGAGTAACTTGCTGATGTTCACAAGCACTTCTCTGAGCTGCAGCTTCCAAGCACACAGGCAGTGTAGATTATCCAGTCTACAAATAATTCCAACACAGTGGAAATGAAAATATAGTTCTTAAAAGAACTTTGAAGTATTCTTTTTTTCTGAGAGCAGAGTATAGTTTTTCACTTAACTACAAAAAGCCAGGGACTGAATTTAATAGAGTCTACTTCTGGTCAAAGGGCTCTGGATCAGCCCTTCGTGCATCACTGCAAAACTTGGGTTGAAATTCATCAGTAAGCTAAAGCAGGCAGGTCCTCTGCCGATGAGTAACAGACTTCAGTTTGCCATCAGGTCCAGAAATGAATAAAGCTAATTCCCAATCTTTATTTTAAGGGGAGAAAAATATGCATCTGTTCACTGTGTTTTCTCTAGAAGCATTAAAACGTTAGGAATGATTTAGAAGTAAAATCTGACAGGAAGGAAGGGAATGAGCTTTCCAAGACATTTTACGTAAGTAAAAGCTGGCATGGCCAGGGAATCTTAGATGTGAACTCCAGCAAGAATAGTTGAAATGCATTAAAAAGAATCCTCAAAGATGAAAAGTCAGTTCAGTTTACCATATGTCTACAGAATTCAGTAGAGGATTTGGAAAACCAAAGGAATGCATCATATGAATCCAAAACATTCTCTCTTCCTTGTGCTTGTAACTATTAATTGTTAAATTAGATGTAGCGTCACTTGGAAATTTTTCTCACTAAAATGTTTTCCATTGGAAACTTAAAACTTTTCATGGGAACATACAGATCCGCTTTGGCTGGAAAGGTTTCCCCACGACATATGGGATCACTTATCACAGCCCAGTAAAACAATCTGCTCTAGAGCGGCCAGGAGCTCAGGGTGACAGTGCCCAGCAAGAGAAAGTCC